GAATGAGCTGTAATGGAAACAAAAGAAGAGGCATTACTTTTGGCTCCTCTCTTTCCATTACTTAATTGAAAAAGAAAAAAAAAATAGAAAGCTCTCACACTTGATTTTGTTGCTCTAAAAGAAAATGTAGTCTGAAGAGCAGATAAGTAAGGCCTTGGTTAAACCAAGGGTTTATTTACACACGTATCTGAATACTGGTCTTACTAGAAACAGTGCTTATGTGCCTTTTCAGCTTTTTACATAAGCAAAGCAGAAACCAAGTTTCAAAACATTATCTACAAAACTACAAAAGTAGAAAGCACTCTACTAACTTTAAATAGTTCTTCCTTCTTTCTATTCCAAACGTTTTATACCTTACCTTAAATGCATCCTAAAAGGTGTTACTTACTGTCAAGCTTGCTGGCATGACTGGTGGGTGTGGAGGTACTGGGTGTACTGCTTAGTTTTGGTCCAGTCTCTATTTTATACATTGTCTCATCTTGACAGAAGCCCTTCTCAATGCTGTCAGAAAACCACTGCACAGGCACACAGTGGACGTTCCATTTTTTGGCACATTCGTACTTCTGACCTTTCAAGGTAAAATAAAATTAAAAAAAAAATGCAAGTTACTAAAAGACTGGTGCATCTGTGTTCACTGAAAGATGGATGCACATCAAAATCTGAAAACTCAAATAACTGATTTCGGGGTGCAAGTTGTACTACCTTGAACTCATGAGCTGCTATTTACTTGCCTTTATTTAAAGTTGGAATAAAATCTCCTTGACAGTGAGCTCATGGTACTGCATCACAGGGCACGAAACCATTATAAGCCAGCAAAGTATGAAGAAGCCCTCTGCAGAGCTTTCATCAAGGGTTCCACCACTTACAGCACTGCTAACAGTATGTCATCTTGCCATACACTTTTGATAAGCTCCACCTACAAGAAGTTTTTCAGTTTTATTTTGCTCTATCTACTGAATAAACTGTGATATAGAGCCAGTGCCAGCACATTCTAACACTGAGAGCAAGGTAAGAGTGCCCCATGCTACTCTTCCCATCAACACCACTTTTCTACACAGAAGCAGCAAGAGCAACGCTACTTCAAGTCAAGGAGGGAAAATAATACGCATGCTGTAAGTTTTACCTTTTGGCTCTTGAACTATGAGGTGAGTACATTCATTCATCTTGAGTTGCCCTGAATACTGCCCACCATGTTCAGCCGTGAGGCGCTGGACTTCTTTCCTGTCTGAACTACTTAAGCCAGTTACACAAATCGTACAGCCAAGAAACACAGGACAAGTGTAGTCTTCCATGTTAACATCAGTGTATCTCATCATACTAAAAGAATGAAAGGGGGAAAAGAAATACGCTTTTATTTGGTCTCAATTAGAAAAAGTAAGCAGTGTGCATAACCATAAGAATTACTGGGACCCAACACAAAGTAAGTTTTACTTCGTTCCAGTTTTCATTACCTTTGCTGAGATTTATCCCATAGTGTCTTAACCCAAGAAGGAAGCAAAATAGGTTTTTTCAGCGAAGCAGCTACTAAGTATTTCTTGCTGCCAACTTCTCCTGCTATAAGATGAGTTACTGACATATTGAGGTCTCTGTACACACGTCCACCCATCATTTGTACATATTTATGAACTTCTTCCTGAATGGAGAAATTACAGAAAATCATCAAAAGAAAAAAATAATTAGGAACCTACATCACATCCAAAAATAAATCAGTTTCAATTCCCAGTGGTTTCTTCTAAAAACTAATCAAAAATGTCAATTCCACTTTATTTGCATGGACAGTAAACAATATAATAAGTAAAAGTAAAGTAAAGATGTTAATACCATAAGTAAAAAATTTACTGGTGGTTGTTCTTTCAGGTAGCATATATAAAACAACAATGTTGTAATATATAAAAAGGAAAGTTAAGCATAACTTATGTGAAGTACAGCTGGCTGGATATTTAATATTAACCGCAGACTGAAAAACCAGAAATATGTTGTCTTCAGCATGATAGCTGGCCAACAGATCCCTCGATCAGCGAATAAAAAAATCCTCAAATGGACACATATTCCCATATTAATGACTACTTTACAATGTTACATACTACACATATTCCCATATTAATGACTACTTTACAATGTTACATATGCTTTTGTGATGTAGATACACCACTACATGCATGCTTGTATATCAAACATTATAAAAAGACTTCCTTTTTCTCCATAGTTCTCTACATAAATGACAGATACTCTACAAACCACAGAAAGATCAGACATAGGCATAGGCACAGTTATCATATCACAGTTGCACATACTACAACTGATGCCATAGCAATAAACAAAGCACATGCCACAGAAAAACCTGTTAAACCATCCACTGTGTACAATACATTACCCGAACATCTTTATCTAGGGTGGTACAGGATATCGTTACGTCAGCCATGGTCATGTTATACACGGGATACTCAGCCCTTGGGACGCATCTCTGGGATTGCATGCAATACAGGACTACCTGTGGTCCAACAATTCTACAACCAAGCTGAATTAAATAACATGGAAAAGAAACAAAACAAAGAAAATGAGCAGAAGGTACACTGGAGCAAGGAATGTTTGCTTTGTACCTGAGGAATCCTGGGGAAGGCAGGGCCATTGCCTATCCTTGTCTAGCTTTACTAGATAAGTGACAGTTTTGTTTTCACATTCTGTTGGAAATTTGCAGTACAACCTTCTTAAACTTTCTGGGCTTGATAAAAACAGTACATCCTATAGCTAACATGCCATTGGATTCCAGACAGCTTATCTTTGTCTGCTGGACAATTTCCTGCCTGTCAAACAAAAACATGTTACTCAGGAGAAAAAAAAGCAAGAGCCAGCTCCCTGATTCCAGCAAAATCAGAACTGACCACAATATTTAGTTTTCTACTACTTCTTAATAATCCTTACACTTTACTAGTTGTCTTCTCCACTAAATACAGCATGCACCAAAGCTCTAAAGATTTCATTGTGAATACTGCATACTACTGTATTTAGTGCAAGAACACAAAATGTGCAGTCTAAGAACATCCATAAGAGCTCCTAGACAGGAAAGAATATAGCTGGTATAAGTTGGTGTGTAGCATACCTTTTGGAGATGATTAAAAACAACACCAGTGAAAGGATCACAAATGTAAAGGGATTTATCATTTTCTTTTATCTTGAGTGCTGCTTCTTCTTCAAGAATCTGGAGATGTTCTTCAGACTGAAATTCTTTTATAGACTGCAAGAAAACAATGCATATGACCACATTTATTTAATTGATAAACCACAAATAGTTAATAATGTGCAAATCACAAACACACATGTACTTGAAACAGCCCACAGCAGAGCCACCCTGAACAGTACAGGGCAGAACAGACATAAGGCATCTAAAGAGCCTCCCTCAGCCCCCAGCTTTTCACAGCATTCAGACTTAAACACTGCATACGAACTGAGCCTGTCATACAGTGCCTTCAGCTCTGTCAAACCTCTCCAGGTGGGAAAAAGCTCCACATCCTTCCTGTTAAGGTGGATAAATAACCATCACACGGACCTTCTGGGCCTACCCGGCACTTTGCTCAACGTCAGCAAGTTTTGACAGAATCACTTGTTCAACCTGGTCAGTATGATTGCTTGAAACACTTCTGTTAGGTAAGCGCAGCGTTATTCCCAGATGTACACACGCAGGCTGCATTCACCACCGAGATCACCTCAGCGGAACATCCAGCAGGCCCACAGCTTACACCTACCTCCAAAGCTTTCAAGAAATACTCCGAGCTCCCAGAAGATTTTACGAATTTCACCAAGAACAGCTCCTTGCTGCCTTTCATCCTTTAACTGAGAAGCAAACCCCGGTGAGATTCGCACGCCGATCCCACCGGCAGCCCCCCCCCTTCCCCCCGGGGCCCCTCCTCGCACTGAGGCTCAGCCACCGCTCTACACGCCCAACCCAGAGCTCCCGCTCCCTCCCCAACCCCAGCACCGCTGTGTGCTCGGTGCTGCCGGTGGGACGCTGCCCCCACGGCATCCCCTGACACCGATCCCACCCCTCACAGCGCCCTGCAGTATCGCGGCGGGCGGGAAAACGGCGACTCACATTGCGCATGCGCGGGAAGACAGGGGGCGTTGTCCAGTCGAGGGGCGTGGCCTGGGCTGGGAGGGGCGGGCGGTACTATATAGCGACTCGCACCTCGCTTGCGCTGTTACCGGGCGCCCGTTGGAGGCGCTGCCGTTGCTAGAGGGCGGGAAGGGCGCGTGCAGCTGTGTGGGGAGTAATGGGTGAGTGCGGCTGGCGGCTGCCTCTTCACGTGGCTCCTCGCGCTCCTTCTCCCTCTCCTTTCGTGGATCTTAGTTGGCCTCCGCTCTTTAGTTGCCATTAATATTTCCTAAGGCTTGCTGTTGCTTCCGTGCTGCCTGTACTGGAGGTGGTCATTTTATAAGGACGGCAACAAGAAGTATTGCTAGTGAGTCGTAGGACTGCAGCTGCAAGCGCTACCGTTTGGCCACGAGATGGCACCGTCACCTCAGAACCGAGCAGGCTGATGGTGTACTCAGAGGTAGGCTTCTCTGGCACTAGGGGGGACAGACGTTAAACATAATAAAAGCTAAACTTCCCGGGATCTGAGTGAGTTAAGAGGCAATCTGTGAGATTGCACTCTTCCTATCTCAGTGCACAAAACTAAGTGAAATATCAACCAAAATAGTATGCCTGTTAATAGGTAATTAGGGACCCAAAAGAGCGTGTCTGTTAATAGATAATTAGGGACAGGCAGCCTTCACTGGCACTCCAACATGCTAAAAGTTGTTGCAATGGCCCTGCGTTACCAAATGGTGATGGTTCTTTGCTTGTAAGCCCCTGAGTTTTACTGCCTGCTCTTTCAGCGGTACAGCAACCTGTGATGAGGAGGGATTTCTCTTCATTTATCATTCTTATGGGCTGTTCTAAAACAAGGAGATGGCGGAGGCAGAAAGGATTGAGCAGTCTCATGTGCAGAAGTTAACAACCTTTAATGAACTGCATGATACAAAATATTATGGCTGTCTGTTGGCAGTCTTTAAACTGAATGCACCAGTGCTGCCAAATACTGTATTTTCTATTTTTTTTCTTGAATTTGGATCCAAGTGTGTTACAGTTACTGAAATCTGGTGTATTGTAATTTGCTGAAGTACATTCTCTTCTCAGTGCGGAAGGCTGTGGATGCCCCCTCCCTGGAAGTATTCAAAGCCAGGCTGGATCAGGCCTTGAGCAACCTGGTGTAAAGGGAGGTGTCCCTGCCTATACCAGGGATTAGAACCAGATGATTTTAAAGGTCCCTTCCAACACAAACCGTTCCATGATTCTGTGAAGTGACTAACTCTTGATAAGCTGATGATCTGTTAGGCCAAGAGTCTCTACATTTGAGCTCTGTGTTGGGGAAGCTGTCCCTTGAAAAGATCCATGCTGTAGGAGAGAACACTGCAAAGGACTGGGGCTCTTTTTTTTACGTACCTCTCAGAAAGCCTTGTCAGTTCGCTCTTGTACATTCGTTTTATTGCGCGTTGCTCCTGCAGAGCTGGTCAGTACCCCACTTGGCACCAAAGCCTTCTAGAGCAAGTAATTCCTTGAAGACAAACTATCTTAGGATCTGAATAGAAATCAGAGAATCACAGAATTGTTGGAAGAGACCTCCAGAGATCATCGAGTCCAACCCCCAAAATTCTTAGCAAGAACAGAATAAAATATGAAAGCATTTTATAAGAGTTATGTAGAAGAGACAAAACATACACAAACAACCCTACCTATGTTACTGCATGTAGCTTCCTGTCTCTTTAAAAAAGAAATGCAGGTGTTTGTCTCTTCATACTGAAATTATCCAATTTCTGGTTATACTGATAGTAGTAATTGCTGCACAGTGTCTTAAAAATGTGAAGCTGAAAAAAAATCAAACTTCTGAAAGCATAATATGGTTTTGTTATGTTTCCCATGTGGAAGTAGTCCAAAAGTAGCGCTTAATGTGACAAAACACAATAAATAGTGGTCTGATGAGCAAATATTTCCCTATTTCACTTCCTGCTTTCACAAGCACTTGGCAATGTAAAATTTCTTTGATACTTGGAACTGTTTATTTGAAAAACTTATTTTTTTAAAAAAGGCTATCCAGGGCATCTGGGAAACAGAGATTACCCTACTGGATCAGAACAGCCATTAAAATACTCACTTTTATATTCCTCTAGAATCTCCAGAGTTGTCCAAAACCAGAAGTATTAGGGGAAATATAAGAAATGATAGAAATGCTATGCAAACTTGATGTAAAACAGTTTGTACTGTGACAAAAGTATGACCTTCATCACCTGAGTACCCCCTTATTTCATGTTCTCTGTGTTCATGTGCTCTGCTAGATCTGAACTTTAATGGAAAACCCAGTTATAGCTGAGCATCAGTCTTGCTAAATATGGAAGAATTATGGAAGCTTTTGCTTTGTAGAAAACTTCCACAAAACAGGAAGAAAAAAGCACAGCAATTGCCCCCAAATTATGCCTTCTTCAGAAGTGAGAGAGATGCTGTATGTTTTTGGCTTTGTGCATTAGTGAATGCTTTTACTTTTTTTGTGCGTGTGTTTGTGTTGAAAAATGTCTATAGCATATTCTTATCTTCAAAAAGATCTGGGTCAAACATTTTCACACCTTTAATGCTGTGGTGTTTTTGCAGCCATTACAGTTCCATTAATTTCGCGTTTTAAAGTTGTTATTTTATGTAGGCTAGAAAAATGGCAAACAAAATCACTGCACTAAGAAGCTGAAGAAGCCTTATTATCTGCACTTGATCTAACACGGTTAAAGCTCTGTGTATAGTACTTTAGTTTTAAAATATTGCAAACACATTGATTTACTGATCAGTGACAGACCATCGTATTTGTTGTTAATACAAGTAGCATATAAAACTGCAGTTTATCAAAAGGGCATTCTGAAAATATCAAACTCCTAATTAACTTATATGGCAACACTTAGTAGCTCAGACTGTTAAATTATTAGAAGGAAGATCTGAAAGGCCAGTAGCCAACCATGCACAAAGGAAAATATGCCTTGGAATATTGGCGTCTTCTCAAAATGCATAGTTTTCCCATAACGACTGTAAAGCTTTTTCATCACAAACCTCAGTAATTTAGCATTATTTACAGAGTTATGCGACCACGCTAATAAAGGACCGAGACTGAGTTTAAATGAATGAAATATCTTGTGTAAAATACAGTGAAGAGATGTTTCCAAAGAAGCAATATCATTTTCTAATCACTAGGTCACTTCAGAAGATCAGTTTATAAGTCTGCTAGGTTAGACTCTCAGCTTAGGTATGTTTCTAGTCTCTGTAGCATGTAACTATGCTTCTACTTCCACCAAAAAAAAAAGCTTTTTTTTCCTTTTTGTTTGCCACAGAATTCTGTTACCACATCTTCACAGCTAATTCGGTACATCCATTTCATTTATGTACAATTCCGCGCTGTTATGAGCAAATAACAGCTTTGCTAGCTGTGTGCCATGACCTTGTGCAGATGCATTAGAGACAGTGTCCAGAAGGGATTCTCCAGGCTTTCATCATAGACTTGATTTCAAAAAAGTCAATTCCACTTTTTTTTTTGTTAGGCACAACCTACAGCGCAGCAGAAACTTCTTGCTCTCCAGTAGACTGTGTGTAGGTGGAGCTGGCCCGTTCAGCTGTGTCGGCATAGAAAACTGGGCAGTATTTAGAGAAGTGGGATGCAATTTGCTTTCGGAAAAAGCTGCGAAGATACTTCCTAAACTTTTCTCCAGCAAAGGCATAAATGACAGGATTGATACAGCAGTGGATCATTGAAATTGTTTCAGTCACTTGGGTTGCTTTGTGCAGTTGACCACTGGTTTCACAGCTAGTGATAGAAAATGAATCTTGAAAATCACGCAAGAGAATACAAATGTTATATGGTGCCCAGAAAAAAAAGTATACAATCATGATGATAAATATAAGCCTGACGGCTTTATTTTTCTTCTCATTCCTACATTGTAGCAATGTCTTTATGATTTGTGTGTAGCTGCAGATCATAATTATCATAGGAATAACAAGTCCTAGGATGTTCATCTTTAAGGCCAGGAATTGCTTCCATTCATCTCTCCGCTCCTGCGGATAATGAGCGCTGCATGTACACCGTCTGTTCTCCTGTTGAGTTTTGTGAAATACTATCCCAGGAACAGAGGCAAAAAGAGCAACAGCCCACGTGACAATGCTGGTGAGGATGCCGTAGGTAACTGTCCTAGCTTTTAAAGCAAACACTGCGTGAACTATGGCCAGATACCTGTCTATGGTCAGCAGGATTATGAAAAAGATGCCGCTGTAGAAGCCAAGGAGGTAAATGCCTGAGAGGATCCGGCACAGCGCTTCTCCAAAAATCCAGTCGTGAGCAGCATAATAAGCCCAAAAAGGAAGAGAAAATATAAAAAGCAAATCAGAAATGGCCAGGTTGAGCAGGTAGATGTCAGTCATACTCTTCAACTTCTTGTATTTTACCAGGATAAGGATAACAAGAATGTTGCCTATGAAGCCAAATATCACCACCAGTGAGTAAAGCGGTGGCAGAAAATTTGCTGCAAAGTGCTTTTCCTCAGTTCCTGGGCATGGTGCTGAATCACCATAGTCAATCATTGTTGTTACATCCATGTCACCTAGGTCAGTGGTATAGTTTTCCATTGTGTGCTGATCTGCAAAGGAAGAGAAGAGTGGTCAGCTGCAGGGAACTCTAGGCTTGGCAGGGAGGGGAATGAAACACAGCGATGGGGCCTGGCCTCGTTGTGCCAACATGCGCTGCAGCCCTCACCCAGGGGAGTACCTGCAATGTCACTCTATCATGGGTAAAATAAAAGTGCAGTTTGTGGCTTCACGGGAGCCTCAGTGCTGCTAGGGACCATCTCTGGTGGTGTAGAAATGACCCTTCCCCAGGGCACTGACTGCACCCACCTGCTCAAGTGCTGTAATGGCTGCTGGCCAGCAGCAAGTCAGTAGCGTTGGTCTGGGTTCCGATGGCAAAGGCAGCGTCCTCTTCAGAGTCTGGGCCAGGCAGGGGCCATGGAAATGGCTGGCCTTAGGTAGCTCTGGAATAACAGCTGTGTGCAGCCCTGTCTTGTGAGCTGTGCTGGACACGTTCAGCTGATGACCTGCAGGGATAACTGCAATGGAAAGAACAGGTAGGCAAACACCTGTCCAAATGGCATAAAGGGTTTCACTTGCTGTCAGCTTGACCTATACTACACGTATCTAATGCAGAATCTTCCTGACAAGTGAAACACCTCCACAGGGCTCAGGATTAAAGAAGTTTTGATTGTTTTTTTCTATTAATCAGACATTACTCAGTTGCTCCAAAATTCAGATGAGTGTTTGAGATTGCACCTAGTTGAACAGCTGATATGGCTGTCATTGTGAGGGTGAGCTAAATATTCTGGATGTATATTTGTTGTTTGCGTATCTTTCTTCATCCTGTTCTTGTTACTGTTTCCAGTGAGATGACATAGAAACTAAAGCAGTGCAAGGGCTGCCCCTATACTCCGTCCCTGTTTGTGTGTGGTGTCAGGAAGTCAAAGGACTTGAGACATGGGTGCCACACCTGTGGTTACGACCAAGAATCTGCCAGATGAATACTCATATGCAGAGCATAGCTTCGTGTAACTTGGTCTCTGAGAAGTGTCTTTGCACAGGCTCCTGGAGAAATCTACAGAATTCCTGCACAGCAGTGAGAAGCAGGGAAGAGGATTTTGTGAAGACAGGTGTCAGGAGGACCCAATGATAGGTGTCAGTGCTTCCAAATCACTTGATGGGGAAGTGAAATTGATGCTTTGGTAGCCACTATAGAGCTACTTGTTGTTGGGGAAAGTGGCTGCTGTTTTTTATCCTGGATCCTGATGACTGCTTTTATGAAGCATTGCATTGTTGTGGCAGAATGATTGCTGCTCTCTCGTCAAGGCAGCAGACTGCTCACAACACAAAAAGCTTCAGACACTGTGTCTGCCCCAGCTTGCTGTGTGACCACTCAGATAACTGTCAGCAATCATCACTCCTTTCCTGTTTTGAACCCCGCTGTGCATTTCTTTTTCAATGAGAAGGTCTGTCCTCTCTCACCGCAGATGTCTTTTGCAGAAACTACACTGAAAGCCATCGCTTTTGTTTCTGCACTTGAGTTCTGCAAGACTAAATTGAGCTGAAGAAACTCAACTGGTGATTATAGTGATATTGGAGCCATGCACTGGTCTCCTTTTTCGTAGAAGCTCTCAGTGGTCCATTCTGAGTTACAGCATGTGAAATCACTGAAGCATCTCCTTGTGTCTAGACGTAATTGTTTGGGTTAAAGTCTTATTTTCTGCTGTAAAAACAGATCACTGAAAGGCTAATGTGCCTCATCTTAATTTTTGTCTGATTGTGAAATTTAACTAATCTTAAACCGAGTCTTGAGAAGAGACTGCTCGGTAGGCCTTTGACCACTTTCCAGTGACCTTTAAAATGAGGATCTGGGTCTCTCCTGAGCTCCTCAAAACTTTAAGGAGATTATTTTCCAGCATAGTGCCAATATGAATCTGTCCAAAACTGAGAGAGCATGCTTGGAGCAAAATCTGCACCTTCAAACAAAAGGAGATATTGCACTTGCAAACCTTTTTTCCACTCCTTTCCCATTTTGTTCCTCGGGCAGTGTTGTCTCTGTTCCCAGCATACAATGGTGAGAATGTTCATACTGAGGTATTACTTTGGTATGTAGAGTTTGGCGTAACATTTTCTTCTGGAGAAGAAGAACTAAGAGAAAATTGTCCAGTCTTAACAGTTGTGTCTAAGGCTTACCTAGATACAGTTTCCTGGGTAGAAAATAAGTGCTGTCAGAACCCTCAAAGTCTGATTTTAAGGAAGCTCTGGTGACCTCTTTGAAACAATTTTTTCCACAGCTGTTCTTACTACATAGTCATTACAATACTGAGATCGTAGTAACGGAAGTGGCTGTGGCTCAGGTGTATTGACAGTAAGTTGTTTGAAAGTATTTAAGTGTTTATATTTTTTAATTACTCTCAACAAGTCTGTTAGACAAAAAAGCACCTTCAAAAAGGAGTTATTGATCCAAAACATTAACTTTTTTTATTTTAAAAGCATGCCAAGATTTGCGAACTGCGCAAATATTCAAGATTACTTTCAGCTTTTTCATGTCCTGACAGTGCTGCTCGTAGCTAAGTATCCCTATTTGCAATTTCCCAGTCAGCTGCACTGTGCACTGAGATTATGGGATGAGGAGCTGGATGCAGAACATACAGCCAGGCCCTGTATGTCCTGGGGCTGAGACCGGTTTGACCCTCCTTGCTAGTCTAACTAGAAACTGGTGAGAGCATCAGTAGTTGTTGAAAATGACAAGATCGTCCCACTGGGCAGAAGCAACATCTTAAAATTATTCACCCATGGTGGAAGGGTTTGAAACCACAGCCCAGAAGAACAGTTGCAACCACAAAGCAGGTAGAAGGCCACTAACCACATCTACTGCACTATCAGTACTTTGTGAGGGTTATTTCTTAGCCTCTTAGCTCTGTGTTTTGGTCATTTTGCACTTGCATGATGCTGAAGCACAAACAGGGCTATGAGAAGTGACTGAGTCATAAACACAGAGTGAGATTTTATGAGTATGCAATTGATTGATAGGATTCATGCTAACACTGCAAAGTCTGCCTTGTTATTACTGCAGCAATCCCGTTCATGACAGACCCTTCTTTTTGCTAACGGTCTTCTCAGTTTGTTCCTTCCTTTTTTCTTTCTCTGCCTTCTTGGAATGAGAACTCCATCTCCCCTCTATCTTATTCCTTTCAGCCTCACTTGCGAAGTGCAGTCTTTCCTCTGAGTGTTTCTTTCTGCTGAGTCCAGTCTTTTCTTAAGAAGCCTTTCTCTGCAGAAGTACTTATTGCCCTGAATTGAGTATAGCACCCAGCATATGCTAACAACATAAGCTATATAAGCTAATCTTAGAAAATAGGAAAACAAACCACCAGGTGTTTCTGTGCTCTATTCTGTAGACTCACCGTGTTAGGAAACAGCGTTGGCCACTGACTAGAATGCTTCACTGAATTAACTGACTGGGTTGCAGCAAATGGCAGCAAAATGCTAAGGTACACTACATGTAAACAGATTCCTTGAGATAAAGCATTTAAAACATATCAGATTTTCTGTGGTCATTCTGCAAGAGAATAAGTACTCTTCAAATGAGTTGCTTCATCTTCGGAGTCACAGATTTAAAATCCAAATTTCTATCATAATGCATCACATTCAGAGAAAAAAAAATTGTGTAATCTGTTTATCAAAGAGCCATATTCCTTTACATTTCTTATCCCAATCAACCTTTCTTTGTTTATCTGGTTCCCCTGCTCAACTCTTCTAGTGGTTCTATCCTTTAAAAGCAGGATATTCCTTTTAACATACCCTGTTCTTTTCCCCAAGTTGTTTTTTAATGTGAAGTTCTCTAGCAAGATTCCACAAGTATTTTTCACCTCAGTCACTGAAGTACCTAAACAACTGCTAAATGCACAGGTAGAAGAAAATAAAACCAAAAGAAAGAAAAGATGACTTACCATAAGGTGCAAGTGGTGCCTTGGATTATTACATCGAGAGTAACGCTGAACTGATTTGTCGCTCACTAGTAGAAGGTTGCAAACACCTCTTCCTGCGTGAAGAAGGATGTATCAGTTTGAAAACTTCTAGCAAGCAGATCTGTTCTCACTTAAAAAAAAAAAAGTCAAGGAGCAGTTCTCTTTTTTTCTAAAAATGGGTTATCAGATGTTACTTTTCTAACTCTGCGAGATGTGCAAAGAGATGTTGAAATTTGAGGAGGATCCTCTTAGGAACTGAACTAGAAGTTTCACAATCCGCAGCTGTACTTATAGGAAAAAAAATTTTCTGTAATTTTCTCATTTAAGTTTACTCTTTGAGTCAAGAGAAGATTATGTGATGCTCATCCCGTTACATTTCTCAATCATTATGTTTCTTTTATGATATTTGTCCCTTAACTAAAATACAGAAGTTAGCTTTCACCTTGATGCATTTGTATCTGTGGAGCTACCTGCATTTTGTATCGGTTCACTCTGAGATGCAGAGCATCTTATATTTTAGCAGAGGTGTTGATTCTGTTTTACTCAAAACTAGCCTTTTGCACCTTGTTTAAAGTCCCTTTCATAAGGCTCTGCCTTTAGCCTATTTCATAAGTGGGACAATCTTTGAAAACAGTGCTTCATTTACTGGAGTTAAGCTTCAGAAAAGCATAATGAAATCTGATATCCTTTCAACTTTTTTCCTTGTGGCTGATTCCTTTGACTTTTAGATAGGGTTAAACTAAATCTGCACTGTGAGCAGCTTTTAGATCTTTCTTAGACATCAAAGATACCACACAGCAGGTGGGAAAGTTACAAAGCAAGAGGTAGTGCCTTATTAGTTGTCTGAGAACCCAGAGAGAAAAGCCCTGAGTAGTTAACAAAGAAAGTAAATATCTGTTACTCCTGCCTCCCCTTGACATCAGTGATCCTCTCTTCAGAGGGCTCTGGGATAGTTTATCCTGACAACCTCGTGAAGTCACTAAAGGTGTAAAATCTTGCTTTGGATGCTGCCATTCCTTCATCCAAGGCAAGGGAATCGCAGCTGCTGAGTTACACCTCAGATTTGGTGGGTAGAGTAAAAAAGGGAAAAGCTCAACTTGTGTTCCATGTCAAACCCTCTGTGTTAGGGACTGATCAATGTCATTGCTCCATAAAGTCAGAGATTTTTTTTTTTTTCCCATTCAGTGGCTTTTCTAAGAAGCCCTTTAAGGCTTGGTGTCTCAGCATCAAAATTAATGGCTGCTGTAGAGTATGCAAAGATTATATTAATGCTGCCTTATTTGATAGCCTATATTAGACCTTCTATTCAGTTGGTGCCAAGAGCTTCTAAAAATATTTCCACGTCACCTTTGCCATGCTCCTAATTGCTGTCAAACTTGGCTGACTCAGATGACGCCTGAAGGTGCTTACCTCTCTTCACTGATGAAAAAATAATAGGGAAAATGAAACAAAGTATGTAGGCTGCTTTGAAAGTAATACCTCCTATTTATTTCCGTGGAAGCTACAACGGATACAAAGAGCACAGTAACACTATTTGATAGGACAATTTCCTATCTAAAAAGCACTATTTTTCAACATAGTCACAACCATTAGCTGTGCATTTTTGCCAGCAATGAACAAGAGCCTGCATGCCGCACTTAGAAAAGTAGGCATGGCCATCCAGAATGCAGATTGTTTTTCAGCTCAGTGTCACCACTGCTGAAATGCACCACCCACCACCTCACTGTGCTCACATCCACTGTTTGGCCTCCATCACCATTCTGCAAGCATTGATGAATGTCAATGGGTGCCATTTTTCCACATCAAGAAATTGAGTTCCACACCTTTACGCACTTGCATGTCAAACCCCATTGTGTCAGCCTGCCTCTCTGCTGCCATCTGTCACATGGCAACAGCACATCATGGAATGTTGGTGGAAAGGTTCAATCCCTACTGCCATGCCAACAACATCTGCCTCTGAAGTCATGGTCAAATAACAAAATTGGAAGCATTACTTTTGGGACAGCCTTTGCATATTACTTTCCTCACTGTAACATGGGATCTTGTCAAACTGTGATATACTTTCACACTGTAGTCCATAATCCTGGCTGCTGCCTCAGGCAGCAAAGAAATTTTGTAGCCACATGCAAACTTTGTTCCTAAGACCTACCTCTACAGGTAAATCCATGTTTCTTAGCTTGAACTTCTTTTCCTTCCAACCTTTTTTTTTTTCTTTCTAATTACTTGCTGACTTAGGAAGGGTAATAGAAATGGAACAGACAGATAGCCAGCTCAGTGTTAATGTCATAACCATACACGGGCATGACTTCTGTGTTCTAAGATGGTGTTTGTTATCCGCCTTAAGATCTCAAATCAAACTTTTTGGATACAGATATACTACTGAACTGCAAGCAGCCACCTATGTAGTGGGAGTGCACATTCACCACCAGAATGTGGCAGAAATTTACAGCCACAAAGCAGCCCACACATGAGCACCTGCCACAAGGGCAAGATAGCAGTAGGCTGGAACCTTCCATAGTCCTTCATCAGTGAACCTGTACACTGCATAGAGCATTTGAGAGGGCGAATGTGGAATGACTCAAGTCCTGAAAAGAAACCAAACAAGAAGGGTAGGCCATGCCCTAGAAAGAATTTCACTTCACACTTTTTGTCTTCTAAGTTGTTTCTCATTATATTAACAGTTTTTCTTGTCCCATGATATTAAAAATTTTCTACAAGCTTTGGCTGTACTGCCTATATTTTTGTTGCAACAGATTAGCATCAGCCTATGCTTTATTCCTTACACACTCTTTTCAAGTATATCCTTAGTTCCTTACTGAAATATCATGAATTCTTATCATTCTCAAATGAAGTATTGTATCAAATTAATTTTTTCAATGTATAATTCATACACAGTCTAACTAGTAACTTTAAAAAATGATTGTAGGATTTATTTCTGAAGCTTGATTCACTTTTCTCCCTACTCAGCTCTCCCCACTGAGCACTGTCTGTTACAGGTTGCATAACCTGCTAGAAACTTGAAAGCCTTTCATGATCTCACATTATATCTCATATTATAGACAGAGGAAACTGTCCCAAAGCTGTTTTTGGACATCAAACTTTTGATTCTGAACTACACTCTCAACAAAAGTGGTCTCAAACGTTTGAACTAATATCAATAACTTAAATCTAAGGTTTCTAGTAGGCTGATCTTCAGCAATACTTCCTTGATCACACAGATTAATCAGTGTTATTAACCTGCTTGATTTTATTGCTTATTGATTTTCATTCTCTTATCTCAGCCATTTGATCAGCGTGTGTTCTTTGATCAGCGTTCTTTCTTTAACTAACAGTGGCAGTGAGTGTTGCAGACCAGCAGAGGGCCTCTGCCATTCACAAGTGTAGCTGCCGACTGGGAGAAGTGATTTTGCCCAGCTGGATCTTGAAGGTGGATGAGAGGTCCCCCAAGGAGAGGCTGAACAGCTATGAAACTTGGCAGCACAAAAACTCTGAGCACATTCTGGCAGTGGGTACCTGGGCTATAACTTTCTTATCAGCACCTACAGGATGTGTTCAGTTAGCTCTACACCTGCTACAGATAAGCAGATCTGCTGGGAAGTCAGATTTAATCAGATCTTGTACTTGTGTCTTAGTATTTTGTTGTCCCTTGATGCTGATAGGACTTTTTTCTTTTCTTTCTTTTTTTTTTTCTTCCTTTCCTCTCTTCTCAGTAGTTTTTGATGGACCCCTGCAGATCCCAACTTCCTATCCTGTCCAAAGTTCCATCACACCACGTGAGACTGTCCATCTTCCCACTGCATTTCCTCCTCTCCCCTGCTGCTTTCTGCCTGCCTCCATCCAGTGTGTGTGTGCTGACACTGAGGTATGGCTACTTCAAGCTACATCAATTATTATGAGTCAGATATTCTGCTGTTGGTTTTTTGTTGGTTTTTTTTTTCAATCCCTTACCCAACAACTCTTTGAAAAAAATGCACTGCAGCTTGCCATGAGCTCTAGCAGATTTTAAGAATCTTTACCTACAGGTGAACTTCATAGTTTTACCACAAAATTGAAGCAATCATTCAAAAATAAAAGGAATGGCAAGTGGTTTGGTATAGCTTGGGTTGTCAGCTATCATGGCTTTACTTTCAGAGATGAGTAAAAGCTATGCTTAGTGATGTGACACTCGTTTCCTCCATAAAGACATTTTTGAAATGGTGACGTGTTTTATTCTTCTCCTGTGAGGTCAAGCTGATGTACTCTGCAAGTGTGCAGCAATGAGCACTGACAATTCAGTCTTTTCTGTACAGTTATATGGTTAGTGATATGATTCATCTTCACAGTCATCAGGCCATCACACTGAGGTATCCAGTAACTCAATAGTGTGGCATTTCCACAAGGAGATGCCACCATTACTGGGAAGCCTCCAATAGCACCCTGTTTGCTGGGACACACACTAGGTGCACAGATACCAGTGTCACGTACAAACGTAATCGAGCACAATTTTGGGCAGAGAAATTTGAAAATGCAGCTAATAGTTCTGATTCAATATATTAGAGTCTTGCAGCATGTGATGAAGAAACAAGAAAAATAAAGATCTAGGTCAGAAGAGTAGGTACCTTTCTGATAGATGCACCATGTGATAGTGCATCCTGCAAAAGGCTGTAGCTCCATCAAATGCAGATCATCCTTTCCATCTGGAGAAGAGGTCTAATGAAGCACGTACACAAACCTGACACATTTCCATGTTCTCCCAATTATATCTAATTTTGTTGTATTGACAAAATCTGCTTCTAAATTAGGATAGCATTAACAGGCATCTTATTTCACCAGTGATCAGTAAAATACCTCATAAATAAATAAAATGTATTTTTTAATGGAGAGACTGAATAAAGATATCCAGCTGAAACTATTTTGTTCTTGGATTGTTTCCCTTTCCTAACAGCCTTATATTTCAGGCTCTCAGATTCTCATGACTACTGTTTTGATGCCACTGTACAATCACACCATCTAAGAAATGAGAAAAAGTATATCTAATCTTACCCGAAATTATCAGCAGGGATCCCCAAAACAAAAAGTAACGGTGTAAAACTGTGACAAGCAGAAAGAAAAAGACAGCAAAATTCTTGAGACCAAAGGTCCTTACACTTCTGAGGCATAATCTGAGGAAAAGTGGGGAAAATGTTGTGCACCAAATGAAAGCTATTACCACGGAGTCCTTAAGAAACCCATTTTGTACATTTTGCAAATTACAGAAAATTGGGTTATGAAAAACAAACTCTGGAAGACACAAGTATTCCTAATCTGGGCTAACGCTGCTTCTTCACATTGTTTATTGGCAGTGAGATCAATGTGGTGGTTTTTTCCCTGTTCTTCTGTTTGTTTCTCTACTGCAAGACATACAAGTACATAACTATTCATTGCAGCACATACACATTCCATGCTGTTGTACTGTTTTTATTTAGGCTTTCCCTGTGCTGCTGATACTGAACTAGCAGTACTTCTGATGCAGTGAGGAAAAAGAGAGCATTGCTTCCTTCTACTGTTTTTTTTCCAGACTTGTGATGCATTCTGCCATGTTTTTTGTTTTTACATAAGAGGGACCATAGTGCAATGAATCTTACTTTTGAAGTCATAGCTATATATTTCACAAATTATCAGTCAAGAACCAATTTTTACACACCATTTTAATTCTTTGCTTGTTTCAGATGAATTTGTAGTACATACATTCTAGGTGTTTTTGTAGCTACACTGTGAGTCAGAAATACTCCACAGTATGCTTATAGGTCCTGGATCTTAGCTCAGCCGGGCTGAGAAAATCACACACCAAATTTCTTCTCAGTGAAAGCTAGGTCATAGAAAGAATGGAGAGAATCTGTACAGTGAGAAGGTATGTGCCAGGAACCAGAAAGTACTTCTGAATGCCAAAGATTAGCAGTAGTCTGAAATTGTCCATACCTCATGATAGCATCCCAGTAATTAATGTCCACATGGCTTCTTCATTTCCATCCACTTGATTTCCACTGCATTCAGAAATTCTGGTGTTAGGATGGGTTGTGCTGCTATCATTGCATCATCCTACTGGCACAACTTTGCAGATAATTCTGCAGGGCTGATCTGTGCTGTTTTGCATATTGGTCTATGTATCTGATAATGCCACCCTTACCATTGCTTTGGCCCCTTGCCAGGATCAGTCATTTCAGACTTAAAACACTCAAAGTGAGACTGCTCTCATCGTCACAGGAGTTACAAAACTGCTCTGCTTTTGTACAAATCCATGCAGTATTTCTTTTCCTATCATTCAATTCTCTAAAATGAAATACAGCTCCTAATAGATATCACTAGAATATGGGTACAAAACAATACCCTCTTCCTTGTTTCTGGACAAACATCTTCATTTACTTCAGCCTAGGTGATTGTTCCAAATGTACCAAAATTCACTGGCTTTCTCTCTGGTTTCTGCTTCCTCTGCTGTCTTGTGGGCTGGATTCTTTTTTTTTTCTTTTCTTTTCTTTTCTTTTCTTTTCTTTTCTTTTCTTTTCTTTTCTTTTCTTTTCTTTTCTTTTCTTTTCTTTTCTTTTCTTTTCTTTTCTTTTCTTTTCTTTTCTTTTCTTTTCTTTTCTTTTCTTTTCTTTTCTTTTCTTTTCTTTTCTTTTTTTAATTAAAAGACAAAGATGTGAAGCTTCTCAAGCCACAGCAGCCACAAAAAGAAGGTCAGTAGCTGTCAGTATTAGACAACAGCAGTAAAATTAAACTCCAAAATGCAGCAGTATCAGCCTGTTGTGCTGTTCAACATGGTCAGCACTCTATCATTCTCCCAGCACATCATTTCTCTGATTTCTGTTAGCTAGAACAAGATGCTATATAAACGTATCTTTGCATTCTTTCTATTTAGCCCTTTGTAATTTTCACTGGACAGAGTGATATTTATTTTGGAACTTCTTAAATGAAAGAGTCTCTTACTTGTCTAAATGTTTCAACATTCAGAATACTTACAAGTATTTATCTGTTTGTACTTTGATCTTTCTATTTCTCTGCGTATTACTTTGTTAGCCTCTGTTAAGACTAATAAAGACATTCTCACAAGTTTTGCCACTACTCTTCTGTGTTTTCCCTTTTGCATCTATTTCTCTTCCTTCATACTCAATTTGTCTTTATTTTACTTAAGATTTGTACGTGTCAGCTTACAAATGGATTAAGAAATAAGACAGTCTTCTGACAGGAGCAGTCACATGCACTGGTTATCAGAAGATTCACTATTTCTATGTTTATCCATTATACAAATACCACAGACCAACCAGTGCCAGTAAGAACACTTCTGGTGGTTCGAATACTGTCAAGCACTCACTGATACCATATATGCACTTTTTCTACACTTCCTTTTGCCATTTAGGATGTCTGCCAGGGGCCTGACAGCATAGTTGTCTTCTTCTGTGCTGGCTGTTCCTTCCTGCGTGCTTTTGAACAAGTGGTGGCAGCAGCTCCTGACTGAGAAGTTGAGCTGTGTCCGTTAACTAATCTGATGGATTGGTTTTGGCGTTGTGCTTACATATTTGTTGAAGACACATGGATGTTCTGTCATAAGCGTGCTATGTACAATATACAGCAGATGCAGTCTTGTAAGAACTGCATCAGTACAGGTTAGGGGCTGACCTGCTGTAAAGGAGCTCTGCAGAGATGGACCTGAGCGTCCTGGTAGTCAGCAGGTTGACGATGAGCCAGCAGTGTGCCCTCTGGGCCCAAAAGGCCAATGGTACCCTGGGGTGCATTAAAAAGAGCGCGGCCAGCAGGGAGGTTCCTCCTCTCCTATTCTGCCCTGGTGAGGTCACATCTGAAGTATTGTGTCCAGATCTGTGCTCCTCAAGCCAAGTTCAAGAAAGACAGGCACACTTCTTTTTTGGGATTACTCTATACAGTGCAAGGAGACTTTAAAGTAGTTGCAGAAACTCTGTAGAGAAGCTTGTATTTATTCTGATACCAATGAAGAGCCATTTTTTTATTTGCCTTCCTTATTCCTCCTCTTTTCCTTTTTATGACACAGCCCTCCTTTTCCTACCTGACAAATCTCACCCATCTAAAATCTGTGCCCCTAAATTTCTCTCAAAGCTGAGTGTAACAGGCTCTTCTCAAGCTTCCTGGTAGATAAAATCATGCCAGCTGCAGTAGTTCCTGAACAGTGCAGAGAGTTCTCTTCTTGCTTGATTTGGTTTGCTTCAGTTCAGAGTGCAGTACTGCAAGTGTTGAAGTCTATCATAGCAGCTTTTTGCTACCTCTGTTCTGAGAGCAGAGCTGATGCTCTTTTCCTCACAAGGAGAACACGGGCTACAGGATACACATCATTTCTCAGACATAGTTTATTACTTTTGCTGCATTAACACTAAAATAGGAAGACGCATAATTTCCACAAAACAAGAATTTAAAGCACAGCAGTAGAAATACCACAGTTACAGCAGGATTTGTATCACACTCATCTAATTTATACTTTAACATTAAAAAGGGGCTTTTACTTTTGTGCAGTAGAAAATACAAAGTAAAGGAAAAGTGTTATTTACTGTGAGCATAGTTTTTGGTCTTTCCTTTTGTATACCTGTGGCTGTTAACCTCACAAGGGAGCAGCCAGAATGTAGCAGCTGACAGGAGACCACCTAACAGCTAATAGAAGTGGTGCCTTGAGCTAATAAGGCTGAAGAGGGAAGAGTATTCACACCACTGCAACAAGGGCATCTGATCCCTGAATTAAGAAGCTGATTTCTAGGTCCTTTTTGCAGTCAGACAAGTAATCTTCCCCAGAGGTCTTTCAAATCATGTCTGCTTCCGACTCAGGAATCTCTTTTTTTCCACTGGCACTGAAGGACCTTGATGAGATTTGCTGTTAATGTATGCATCTAAGTCACATGCGCAATGTTAAGAGGTGTGCAATCCCCTCTTCCATCCTGACATTGCCAGCAGGTTACTTGAAGCTGGCTTTACAGATTTCTGAGACTAAAACTTTGCATGCTTGAATGGTGCCCCTTGAAGGAAATGGGAAAAAAGCAGCACTGTTTGCCTGTGTAAGGAGTGTTTACCTGCACTTCCTTACGGTACAAAGCAACAGTTTAAAGTTCATATCACATCCTAGGATGCCCCTTTTTATTTACTGAAAAATTCTCAACAATGGCATAAATGTGTGGCTTGGCATAAAAGTCTTGCCATTACAGCACTAGGGTAACAGTCACTAGTCCTCACCAAGCATGCAGTCCTGATCGTGTCAACGGAGGTGATGTGCATCATTCTCCTGAAATGGCAATGTGGTTACATCTCTATAGATAGCTGCTTCTGTGCTTCCAAGGCTGCTGTCTTCCCAGAAGTCTGTCCCAAACAGCAGATTTACTGTGTAAGTTCAGAGCACGTTTTTTTAGCATGCAGGAGCCTATTTTGACACACTTTCTGCATCTGCTGTAGAATGTCTCCCTCTACACATGTGAGAGAGGCCTCCACTCAGTACTATGCTCATGCTCTCCCAAATCCTCTGAAGGATTACGTATTTTCATATGTAATCATGCATCGTAGCTAGATGAAGTAAGATAATTTTAATTCTGTCCTTGCAGATCTCTGCTTTTACTGTCTAAGTGCTATTTCCCTGGAAGGGATCGAAGTTGTCAGAAACAAGTTCATGGTTGTTTGGGGATACAACACTGACTTCTTATACACTTATTAGGCTTGCAGTTACTTGTAAAATTGCACCCACAAAAATGACAATCTTGTCCATTAAAAGCTCACCTTGGAAAATGTTAGCAGTCAAACAATGATATGATTGGCATAAGATTAAATACCTAAAATAAACATACTGTAACTTAGCCTATAGTAAAAAGGATTATGTTTAGAAACAAGTACCTTACAGATAAATCCTTGATTTAAGTGACCACATAAGATAAAGTTCAGTCACCTCTCTCATTAGTGAAGAGAAGTTGTCTTGGTATCTTTCATCCTTATCCTTGTAATGGAAATGCCTCTTATTCATGTAGAGACAATAAGGGAAAGAGGAGTAAAATGAAGAATGCTGAAAGCTTCCCACTACCAAATGGCTGACTGTTTCAGAAAGAATACTATTATTTCCAAATGCAATCAGGATTCTAGGTGTTCCATTCTTGCTGTATACTGAACAAGTACATCAATCCTCAAAGCCTCCTCCCAGTCTTACATTGTTCATGTGGCTGTGAATGGATCTTGTGATATTACTTATTGCTCCTTCATCTATTTTATATTCTTCTCTAGTAAAAGCCATGAATATTTGTTCATCGGTCAGAATATGGGTCCGCCATCAAAATCAAACAAATCATTCTGTGATCAAGCTATGATACTAACAGTTAATGGGAAATGGTTGTTTCTCTTAGATTAAGATCAAAAAATTATGTGATCCAGGCAACTAACCACAAGAATTGGCATAAAGATCTTCTACAACATCGTCCACTTCTTCAGGCAAAGAGATGCAACATTCACTAGCTAGACTCTAGAATTATTTTTACAATCCAGTGGAGATGTCATGCTCGGCAGTTGATGCTGTAAATGAGGAACTAACTCTTTCTAATTTTTCACGATAAAGAGATGGACACTTTTTGCACAGGTGAGCTGCAACATGCTTACGGAAAAACGTATAAAGATACTTCCTAAACTTTTCTCCAACGAATGCATAGATCACAGGATTGATACAGCAGTGGATCATTGAAATTGTTTCTGTTACTTGAATTGTTTTGTCCAGTCTGCTTTGGCTATCACAATCTGGAGAAAAAAAAGAAGTTTGAAATGTGTGCACAAAAGAAGCAACATGGAACGGTGTCCAAAAGATGAAATAAAAAATCATGATGACAAAAATAAGTCGAACCGCCTTCTGTTTTTTCTCATTCCTGCATCTCAATAATGTTTTTAAAATTTGAGAGTAACAGAAAATCATAATGATCATTGGAATGATAAGCCCAAGAATGTTCATCTTTAAGATGTAGGAGTGCTTCCAATTTATTAGGCTATCTGGAGGATAATGAGCGCTGCATGTATACTGTGTATTCTC